CACACCCACACAGTCATGATGAAGCAGATTAACAGAGTTTTTACAGAGTGCTAGTTGCCTCGCTCCGGGGATGGCAATGTCAGTGCACTGCTTTGGTCCAGACTGAAACATCTCAACAACTATTGTCATCAAGTGTGATACAGACATATTCCTCAGGATGGATTGAAATCACTTTGGTGATCCCTTAACTTTTAGTCGAGAACCATCATTACATATTAATGAGTTCAATACTTTGGTTTATGACCAAATACCTGCAAAACTGATGATATTCCCATCAGCCTCAGTTCTACTTTTTGTTTACTGCTAACACTCTAAACTAAGATGGTGAACATGGTAGAGGATTGCTGTCCTATATACAGCTGCTTGCATAGCTATAGACTCTTGAGTCATAAACTCTTAATATATACTAACTAAAGATGTTTTTTTCTAGACTATTGAGTGATGGTTTGATGTTTGTCTGTCTGCTGGCACACCCATCTTTTCATCTCACAGTTTACATTAATGATGAATCATGTAGACAGCTGTTTTTGCTCCACCCCTTGATACTAAGAGCGTGCACACACACACACACACACACACACACACACACAAACTTGCTCTGTTAAATCTATTGTCTATGCATTAGACATTTAAAGTGTTTAGGAGCGCTTGGTTGATGTCTAATGGTCTGAGGCTGAAGGCTGCAGAGCTTTTATCAGTTCAAGGGCACTCAGCTCGTAGACTGCAGGCTTGATGTAGCAGTAACATCCCAAACTGTCATTTCGATATAAACACACATGCACACGGAGACGCACACACTCACAGCTGGTCGTGTGTGTGACCCTCTGACTTCCCCTCGAGCCCAGAGCAAAGGCTGAAGTGATGTGTAAGCAGATCAGAAGCATGGAGCGGAGAGAAGAGGCAATCAGAGCAGGCTGGAGAGTGCTGAAGTATGATACAAAGCTGCCCTCCTTCACTTGCCATTTTACCTCTTCACCTCCTTTTTCTCATCGCCCCACCTTCCATCCCCTACATTCCCCTGTCCTTACCCCCTCCACCTCTCATCCATCCATGTCACTCTATTTTTCCCTACTGCTCTTCTTCCCTCACTACTCCTTCCCATCTGATGGTTAATTCATGAAGTCTGACTGAACATGCACCCTTTCTATTATTAATATAACATTAGGGAGACAGGAGGAGGAGAGAAAGGGAGAAAGGAGAGGAGAAGGGACCGGGAGAAGACACAGTAGGGGAGAAAGTTATTAGGGATAGGGTGAGAAAGGGAGCTAGGTAAATGGAGGGCACGAGAGGTGGAGAGAAGGCGACAGGGGGGAGCAAATGAAGAGCAGCCAAGAGAAAGACAGCCAGATTTTTTCCCAGCAGCTACATGAGGGAGGGTAAAAAAAAAACAGGAGTTAGAGGAGAGTGACAGATGAGAAGGGAGCGAATGTGTCAGGAAGAGGAATATTGTATGACACGTGATGTTATTGGGATGCACGCAATGTCTCTTGTCCCGTGAAGAGAGGCTGAATGCGTGAGAAGGAGAGCAAGAAAGGGAGGGAGGAAAAGACAGAAAGAGACTCTCAGATGTGTCAGTGTTGATCACGTGACCATGACTCCTTTATCCTGGACTCACACACGCGAGACAGGCAGCCCTGATTTTACAAGATAAATACAAAAAGTAAGCCAACACACTCGCTCTCCTAAAAATATCATGTCTGAGACGCTTTGTACCGTAAAGAGAAGGAACCTTTAACAGTATTCACAGTATCTCAGCAGACAGACTTTACAAAGTCAAACATATTGTTGATGATAACCGGCAGTGATGGATGAGTTTTCACCCCTCACACAGCTGGCAGTGTTATATATCTTTGTTTCTTTACATTCCCCCAAAACATTCTCACAATTAAAAATTCAGGGCATGGTGTCCTCATGTCACCTCAACGCTCACTTTGTTTTCCCACTCCACTCAGACCAATCACATTACAGAGTCGGGGCTATCTCTCCGCTATCTGGCCTTTTAGCCCTGAGCTGTCACACTGTTTCACCCTGGTGGGTTCACTGATAAATTTGTCTAAAAGTGAACCTCAGACAGATTCTACAATAAATCCCATGAAATGACCACAAACAACAACGTGATTTTTTTATAACCATTGTATTTATTCTGTTTTGTATGTCGGATATAAAAAGACGCGGTCAAAAGAGAAGAAACTACAATTCCTGGCCTGCGGTTGTGTGCCTCCGCCAAGCAGTCAAGGAGCAGTTTACATCCATGTCTGTCCACACACTCATAATATATGTATAGTGAATACTCGTAGTTGCTCCAGAGGCGTGCGACCTCTGACATGTATAGCAATTGTAAGTCGCTTTGGATAAAAAGCATCAGAAATGAATAAATGTAAATGTTATATAGTTATCACCATATTGATGAGGCATATGTATGATTTCAGTGACTATACATTGTTGAACTGATGAAGATGAAGGATTATCATTGATGTATTGTCTAAACATGTAGCTATGTAAAGATGGATTCTAATAGCTACACATCATGTGCTGCTTGTTTTTCTCCTGGCATTTTTATGTGCAAAGCCTCCTTATGAGCTGTAGGTGAAACTTACAGGGTCAACACTGGCTCCAATATGCTGTTGGCAGTCACATGATTCACAATGAGGCAGGACATGAAATGCAGAAAGGACGAGCTAGGGGAAAGCCCTTAGTGTGTTAGTTATTGTTTACTCAGTCCCAGGCAACATGTGTGAAATTCAATTATGGCTAAAAAACTATTTTGAGGTTACAATGACCTTTGAGTTAGAAGTGTCACCTATTCAGTGTCCGACCAACTGTGAAATGTGGTCACAATGTCCTGTTTTGTTCCTGAGTTAAAAGGGACATTATGATGTCACAGTGAAGTTGACCTTTTGGGCAAAACATGTCATCACTTCATCGTTGTATCCCATAATTACCACATCAGTTATGGCCAAAAATGTGTTTGGTGAGATCACAGTGACCTTTGACCACCAAAGTCTTATCAGTTCTTCCTGTTCTTCCTGTCGTTCCTGAGATATTGGGAGAATGGGATGGGTGGACGGGCAACACAAAAACATGATTCCACAGCTTTCACCAGAGTGGACGCATAAACAAAACATGTACATATACATACAGTCACCTTCAAATTATTTTGTAAATATCTCTATATAAATATCTTTTCATGTGACAACACTGAAGAAATGACACTTTGCTACAATGTAAAGCAGTTAGTGTACAGTTTGTATAATAGTGTAAATTTGCTGCCCCCTCAAAATAACACATCACACAGCCATTAATGTCTAAACCGCTGGCCATAAATGTGAGTACACCCCTAAGTGAAAATGTCCAAATTGGGCCCAATTAGCCATTTTCCCTCCGGTGTCATGTGACTCGTTAATGTTACAAGGTCTCAGGTGTGAATGGGGAGCAGGTGTGTTAAATTTAGTGTTATCGCTCTCACACTCCCTCACACTGGTCACTGGAAGTTCAACGTGGCCCCTCATGGCAAAGGACTCTCTGAGGATCTGAAAAAAAAAAAGAATTGTTGCTCTACATGAGGATGGCCGAGGCTGTAAGAAGCCTGAAACTGAGCTGCAGCACGATGGCCATAACCATACAGCGGTTCAACAGGACTGGTTCCACTCAGAAAAAGCCTTGCTATAGTTGACCAAAGAAGTTGAGTGCACATGCTCAGCGTCATATCCAGAGGTTGTCTTTGGGAAAGCATTGCTGCAGAGGCTGAAGGGGTGGGGGGTCAGCCTGTCACTGCTCAGACCATACGCCACACACTGCATCAAATTGGTCGGCATGGCTGTCGTCTCAGAAGAATTATATTTGATATAATCAAATACGTACAGAAATGTGAGGGGTGTACTCACTTTTGTGAGATATTGTACGTCCTGTATGTACATACATATGCATACATAGGCAAAATTACAAAAAAAACATAGGCAACAAACTATACTATAAATATAAATGAATTATAGAGATCTAATAATGGTATACAGTTCCAAGTCCATGGAAAAGCTGATGTCTGTGAAGGTTCTCAGTCATCCAGGTCATAGTTATCCAGCAAAGGTTGAGGTCAAGAGAAAGACAAGAAGTCTACTGGATGAGAGACGAAACGTCTTCTAGTATCTTCAACCAACTCCAGTTGCCCTTGACCCCAACCTGCCTTGTATACGTGGAAAAGCCCCAGGTCTTTTCAGTCCCTAGACTTCCCTTTTACTGTGAATGTTAATTTTCTACATAGCGAACTTTCAACCAGTGGCTAATGGTTTTAGAAGAGCTGTACTGTATATTTGCTGGACAGATAACACAAATAAACCATCCTCTTCATCTTAGTCCTTAAGATGCATAAAATAATTAATTGATAACAAGGATATTATGATAAACACCTGTAGTGTCTCTCGATCCCCCTCACAGTTGATGCGCTGCTCTGGAATGGTTTGCCTGAATTTATGTAACTTTCACAGAGTAATGTAGATTCATTATATTGTAAAAATCTACCTTTTAAAAGTACGTTCTCACTCTGTCTTTATTATGTATTATTTATCATTACTATGATGGATATTTGGTGACTACCATAAAGAAGGTCTTTCATTTTTTTCCCAAATTAGAGAGATGGTTTAACTAGTTTTTTTTTAGCTATATCATTTCTTATTTGTGATTTTTTCCACCAACAATGCGTTAGTCTATCTTTCAACACTTTCAGATTGTCCCAGCCTCTCTGACTCTCAGGCAAGCCCATTCTTAATGCATTACTGGGGACTATTTTCAGCGGCGGATGAATCTAGTGAGTATTTGGGGCAGCAGGACAGTGTATGTGGGATGGAGTTAAAATAAACTACAGTGAGTGTTCATAGTGATTAAGGAACATGTCGCCCAACAGTATTGCTCATCGATGTAATCGTTTTGTTAATGGAGCTCTGAGAAACACATATCTAGCTTTGAAAAACAGATTACACTTGTAACTATTGTCCATTCATTGTTGGTTTTGGTCTTTTCATGGGATTTATTGAGAAGAAGAAAATACAGAATGTCACCAGACATATCCCTGAAACAGGATAGAGCAGACTTCATTTCAAACAATACACAGTCCAAATTAAAACAATGTCATTTTAACAGCAGTCTAAAACATACAGCAGATCATATCCTCATATGTTTTTTCACATCTGCAAACTGTCTTTTAACTAATCCATGAAAAGATCTCTGGGAATGGCAGCACTGCAAAAACACCACAAGACTTAATAAACCAAGAGGCACTTGAGGTAACAAATACCCTCACTATAATCACCATGATATATTAACACTTACTGCATTCTGTATAATGTGAAGATACTTTTTATACAATATATGCAATATCAAGATGAGTTCTACATAAGGACATACAGAAATCCAGTTGTCCTTGTTAATATGCAGATTTATGCAGCAAGGTGGATTCTAATCAGACAATCAAGACTTGACTGCAATTATGTTATCGTCAAGTTATTATCCTAATGCAGAAATGTGTTGGGATACTGCCTTTTACTAATAATGACCCACTTAAGGTCACTATTCTCATGCAATTTAACAGATTTATTTATCAATGAACGCACAGTTTATAACAACTGTCAGATGAACATTAGATTTTCCCATCAAATCTATGCCGTGGTACTTGTAGTTAAAACATGTTATGTGTGGAGTGTGAAGAGATTTGTGGTGCTGAGGGCTGGGATGTTTTTGAGAAACCTGGTGCTGATGATATCTTACAGAGCACATCAGTATTCTGCAGGGCCGAGAGAGCTGAGACCAGAAAGCAAGAAATGTCTCCCCAGGGTGGCAGGAATCAGTAGTGCAGGTGTGTTTTTGTCACAGCTCACAGATTAACTGGGGCAATACAAAGTGTTCCTCTCTTTCACACCAATACAGACACAGACACATGTACACAAACGCACCTGAACCCTAACACTTGCATGCTGCAACACACGCACACACACACACACGAGTAAATACACTCACATATACACAAAGAACTCTCATGCGTCTCCCATGTGCGGTGTGTCCTTCAGATACACTTGGCCTCCAAGTCGTAGAGTAGAAGAAGGTCCGAGATCACGGCATCGATGTCTGCTTTGGTTACGTCCTCACACAGCACCTACACACACAAACACACGCACAACACAGATTTCAGCTCCACACCTGGCCTGAATAAACAGTGGACATCAAAGGTCCACACACCATTTCAAATGACCTAGATTTCGTTGCCTTGAGGACTGAAGTGGAAAACCATAACCCATCCTGACTTTTTCCTTTTGCATATAGATACTTATAAAATCTAAGCTCTAACAAAAGAGACCTAATTTGTAAAATTGTTTGACAATGGGAAACTATAATTGCCACCACCCTCCAATGAGTACTTAACACATACAGAAGGCACTTCTGCTTAGATGACTGGTTGGGGCTGGATGGTGCACAATACTGCAAGGCTGTATGGTTGCTGTTGGCATGACCCTAAAAAACAGGGCGCACCTGTGTAAGGCTAGGCTGTATGTGTCCGTCACACCGTGAAAGTACCTTTATGGACCAATTTGAACATTGCACATGCTTTAAATTCAACTAAATGTGAGTCGGACACATTCTGCATCCCAGAGGTTTCTTTACAATGTCACAGCGACGAGTTTTCATAGAGACCATTTCTTTGGTACCAAATAAGCGTAGGCGGTTTCGCGGTATTTTGGTATACCAGGGTATTTAGAAATCCAGACGGCATGTCTTTCAATACCGTCACAAATACAGACGCTCCTCTTTCTATTAAACTGATATGGAGATGCTGCATTGAGCTGATGTATTGTAGTGTACGCACTAAACATAGGAGGCAATAAACTGCGACTGCCAGCGGTGGGATAACGTTACATGTCAAGTAACCAAGAAAAATGGCTCTGCCCCTGTTTGAGAGTATTTTGGGTTCAGTTCAGTTTAGTAGATAATGAAGATGAGCCAGCTAACAGGGACAAATTGTGCACATCATCTCTATTCAGCCCACTGATGTGTCGTATCCAAGTGTCATGGGGTTCGCCAGCAAGAATCTATGGAAGAAGGCGCTTATTTCTCATCTATTCATTAATCTACAGGCTATCAATATTAAAACCCAGCGAGACTTGTCTAAGTAGACTAACTACCTATTCCACACACAGCACTGTGTGGCAATGGTATAGATGCTACGATTACTTCTATCACCAGCAGCTCAGCTTTTTGTGTTTTTCTTTTGTTTTTTTTTAAATAATGAAAGTGAAATGTCAGGAAGGTATGACAAAACAGATGCCGCCCAAGCCTAGTACCAAGTAGCTCCAGTGAAAAGTGCAGCGAGGTCTGGTGATTATCCAGAGTAGCAGACTGATTGAAAACTAACTTTTTTTTCTCTTGTAACTATTAAAAACGTTTTTTGTGGTATAAATGTGAAGTACCTCGTTCATAAATGTGCTTTCAGACAGTGAGCAGACGCCACTCTAGAGAAGGCACAGCTGTTGGCCGCTGCAGCTGGAGTTTATGATAGTTTAACTTTTTCAACTCGCTGTGTGACCATGGAAACCACACAGAATCTGATTTTACGGAATCTGAGTTTCACGAAAATTTCCCCTCTTCACCAGCTTCAAAGTATGATTATCTGCTCATCAGGTTTATGATAGTAGTTAGCAAATCCTGCTATATTAAGCGTGTCATGTGGTTAACCCTTGCCTCTATCTTAAGCAACAACCTGCTGTTTTTAGTTGCGCAATGAGGTCACATCAGGTACATCACAGCAGCCCGTGGTGTACAGGCTGAGAGGATGGCAGCTGGGAGCCGTCGTGATGGCGTTGTTTACTCTTCAACTAACAGTTCAACTGATTTCACTTCTTACTTATCAAATTACTGACAGTTCAACAAAATACATTCTTGTATGTTCTTGTGTGTTAGAATTACATTCATCCAGAGACCTGACTCGTTATGAATTGTAATGTTGCTCCATATCTGCTGGATGTGTCAACAGGCAACTGTTTGCGAACACGTTTGCCCTAACTTGTCGGTGGTAATAGGGCTGGGCAATAAACAATAACGATAATTATTGCAATATAATTTTCCTCAATACTAATATAACAAATGTTCAATAAATGTTTGATTAAGATATTTATTTTTGTTGAGGAAAAGGGACTGACAAAAGACTTAATTTCACTCATGGGTATTTGTTGAAAAAAGATTTGTTTTGAATGTTCTGTCTCAGTGTGTTTGGCATCAAGTGTTTGTTCTGATCATAAAGAAAAGTTTAAAACCACAATCAACCATCTGGTCTCTTCAACTTTCACTCTGGAGCAAAAATCTGCCTTAAAACATAAAAGAAATAAATGAAAAATGTGATATTTTTCCTGATAATTATCCATACCAAATGATTGTGTAATTTTTTTTATCATGATAACTGTTTTGGCCATATGTCACGTTTCAAACTCGACTTAATAAACACACATTCATACACAGCCCCCTTTCTCTCGCTCGCTCTCATGCACGCACACGTTTTTCTTGATCAGTCCTCACTCTTCACTCTGTAATTATGGAGGCACACACACCTGCCACCACTCTTTCTCCCCGACGGGCACCTCCACGCCGTAGCTGTTCAGAGCCAGGTACAGCGTTGCTATGGCGATGTGTTGAGGTGTGTGGTGGATGCACATGGCTCCGTGGTAACAGTCTCTAAGCAATGCCCAGGAAGTCTCAGCAATGGGGGTCCGAGCCCAAGCATGGCGGTTCACGAGCGACTTCACAGACAGCAGGTAGTGGAGTAAATACTGGAGAGAAAAAATACAATTAATCTATGTTTGAGGCAAAAAAGTTTTAGTTTTAGTTTAGAAAACTAATTAATAAAGTGTGCAACGGTGATCAGCCAATCACAAGTAAGCAAAGTCATTCTAATTGACTTTTCTGTTACTTGTTCTTGACTCTTTGATGGATCACTGAATGGAAGGGTCAGGTGATTAAATAAAGAAAATAGAAAAGCTACATGACATCAGATCTGCCAAGGAAAGTGTTGTTGTTTAACTACTATTTGAAAACACTTCTTCGTACAGCAACTGTACACACAAACACATTTAGACAACCATGACAACATCAGACAGTAACAGCGACAGACAAGGAGGATGAACACTAAATAGGGGGGACAGGAATACGCTCACGTGCACCAACATGAGCGTGCACACACACCTACCTTGTGAGGGTGTTCAAAGGAGACTTGGAAGTTGAGCTGTCGGAGGATGAGGAGCTCACACTGCACCACGCTGTCCCTCAGGTCCCAGAACTCCTTGTCACATTCTAGAGGAGCGCTGCCACTGTTGAGATACCTGTGAGGGAGGAACGGAAGGACAGAAGGGAGGTGGGAGGGAGGTGGAGGCGAAGAGCATTCAAGGTGACCACTTCGAACAGTGATGAGAAAAACAAACATTCTGCTGTTAAACACTCAATTCTGAGTATTCTGTGCCACTTCAGTTGAAGTGAACTGCACACGCTGATGAGTTCTGTTACTCATCATCTGTTTTGTAGTACATATAAAATACATATAAAAAAGGTCTAGTTTTACAAAGAGGTATAAAGTAGGGCTGCAATTTCAGATTATTTTCCTTACTGGTTATTTAACCAATTATTTTATTATTGAATCAATTAATCAAAGGACTGGGACTAGTCTGTGTCTATAGGTAATCACACATCTGAGCTGACAATGACCTGTGGAGTCCCCCAAGGCTCCATTCTGGGGCCTCTTCTGTTTAATATCTACATGCTTCCACTGGCTCAGATTATGAAAAACAACAAAATATGTTACCATAATTATGCAAAAAAATCTTGGTGTGGTCATGGACGCCTACTATCATCATCTGAAGAATATATCAAGGATTAAAGTACTTATGTCTATGGGATTTTAATGAAAAGTCCTCCCCATTGACATCAAAGTCAAGACAAAAACCTTTAGTTCTCAGGTAACAGTCAACATCTAAAAGGAACTTAAAACTAATTGCTTCCATGAGAGGCTTTTATCTGCAATCTTTCTCATACAACTTAGTTAAACAGTTTTAAACAGACCAAGCACATTACCTGTGGCTCACGTTGAGGATGTCACGGGTCCTAATGTGCTGCTCCTCCACTTTGCCAGCCAGATACACACAGCTCATGGCCACCAAGTAGGGTTCATACGCACGCAAGCTGACACGCTCAAAGAAACGGTGGTACAACACACATGCTGTGGTCACGGGCACCGAGCGCATGCCCAGCTTCACTCCTGAGCAAAGGAAGAAAGAAGCAGTAGCCGACTCATTTCGTAATCTGATTTGGTGTTTCATCATCTTTGACAAACTCATCCACACTCATGCATGTATTGCTATCTATAAATACATGTATTTAGTAAGTTTGAATATGAACTGATAATGAAACTGAACTGCACTTTCATTAAACTTTATTATTAATTTAAATCATTAAAAGAAATCTGTGCAGTAATTCAGAGTTTTGGACTCGGGCTAGTATGACAATAACTCAAAATGTCCATTTCTACTTTGCTTCACATTATCATTATCTTCTTCCACCAAAACACACACTTAGTAAACAATCAACAGTGTAGATGCAAAGCTAAAAGCTGAGTAAGTGCTGTTTGGTGGTTCAGGGGGTGTGGTGAATTTAACAACAGAACCGAAGTGATGAAGAAAAACCATTATACATTAAATTGACAAATTCTGTATTCTCTCTAAATAAGAGAGAGGTGACCATTTCAGGGCAATGGCTGATTAGTATTTCTTAAATGCTAGCAGCATCTGAAGCCTGTTCTCAAACAATTAGACAGGATCCAAATAAAAGTATAACGTTGCTTAAGTCAAAATGGGACGAGATGGTAAGTCCTTGTAAAGTTAGTCAAAAGTGCAATGATTGGATGTCCTCCATAATTTTGACGTAGTAAATCTGCATTTTTACAATGATCATTTAAACTTTTATCATGCATAACTTTTCTTCGTTTTTTCTTTTCCTGGCTTCCACAGTTTACCATTTATCCCACAAAGCAGGTGAATTACTGACACAAACACACCGTTGTCTGCCTACCTGTCTCCATAATGAAGCTACAGACGCGAAAGTGTGTTTTGATGTCCCGGGCAGGGTCAGACTCTGCATCCCCGCCGGAGTCTCTCCTGCCCGCCAGACACTGCGGTCTGTCTCTGGCGGCAGGTAAACGAGAGGACGGACCCTCCATGGCGCACGGACCATCAACAGGAATATCACGTTTTCTGTTAACGTTTCAAAAACGACTCTTAGAGGGCTAACAAGAAGGCAACTAGTTACTGCTGCTTCACCCGGGGCTGCAGCAGGGTTGGTGTGTGTTTCAAATTTAGAAAACGCTCAAAAACTTCAAAAGTGCTAAAGTTATCTGGATGAGCCTGATTTGTTGCTAGCAAAACATGCTAGTTACGTTAGTTGCCGGAAGACAAACAGCCCAACTTCCGGCCAAGAGTTCCAAAATAAATGTCGCGTGCGAATATTTTCTGTCGAAGATGTTTGAGAGGATACTTTTTCTAAATTATTGCGCTATACTCATTCTAATGGACGCTGAAGTGTAAGAAAAATGTTTTTTAATTAAAAGTTTTTATACAGTTTATTATTATTATTATTATTAATATTATTATTATTGGGTCTATTATTTTTTTGTGTTTATGTGTCCTGTGTGTTTATTTCTCATAAATCAGGAACAGGGCTTAAAGCTAATATAATTGTCTGTAGGCTTAGAGCTGCAATTTCCGCTTAGGAAATGTCTGGAAAGGAAAAGTTAGTTTGATTATGTTGCTAGGCAACGGATCAACAAAAACAAACGCGCAGGCTGCAGACAGTTGCGGGAATGTCGTCCAGTTACTCCGCAAACCAGGTAACCAAATTATTTTTAAAAAATATGGAAATATTAGACATTTTGCTGGTCTGTTTTGCTCATGCACACTTTCCATCCTCAGTATGAGAGTGCCTTCAAGTCGCAGAGACTGCAGAACTGGTGTGAGACTAAGCATTTCAATGAGGTAGTTATATCAGCAGTCCTGTCTTGTTGTGTTATACTAGATGTATTTAACATTGTAACATTGCCTGGTAGTTTCAAGAGTAGCATGGCATCTGAAATTTTTGATGAATGACTTCATCTCACTGTGTGTGTGTGTGTGTGTGTGTGTGTGTGTGTGTGCGTGTGTGTGTGTGTGCGCGCGTGCGTCTAGAGACCCACTGCACATAAGGGTCACACCAAATTCATTGCCAATGATAGAGGACATTTGTTCCCAGGAGTGGTAAAGGTGAGAGCATATCAACCCTCTTCTTCTCTCTTCATTAAAAATTGCCTTTCTGTGAATCTATGTATGACTCCACCTCCCTTGTGTGTGCGTGTGTGATACAGAGAGGCAGTGCATGGCCCAACTTTAAGGGGACCTGGGATCTACCTGCTCGTATCCCAGCCCATTGCATCAACCCTACGGGCCGTTCTGTGGAGGGTCTCAACAGGCTGAAGTCCTGGGGCTTCGACCCACATCACACTGGCAAGTCTCAGCCACACAGAGGCAGCAAAAACACAGATATGCTGCAGGATGTTGGCAAGCAGGTTAGACCCAGTCTAACAGGAGGCAACACACACACATACATAACATCCACACATCATATACAGAAAGCCTTTCAGTGAACTCATAAAACCTGTTTTGTTCACGCCTTATTATTTAACAAGATCTACATTCAAAAGCACATTCTGTTTTCACATAGACAAGGAAGTTACTGTTACAGGATGGTATGACCTTTGAGCTGAATGCAGCAATCAAAATGATCAAAGGTGTGAGCAAAGACTCAAACCATCTCTACTCAAAGATGAGTAAAATGATTAGCTTCAGGACATATACAATGCTTCTCATGAATAGAATAGATGATGAAACAAATTGCTCCGGTTACTTACATCAGCAACTAATGTTAAAAGTTTTAGGCTACATTTAATTTATATTTAATTAAAATGCAATTACAATTGTTTTATCATCTCAAAAGGAAATCAAACACTTGTTATAAAAAACGTTAAAGCAGATTAATGACCGGCCGTGGGGATAAGGGTGGAGATGTTTGAGATCATAACACAGGCTGTTTTTTGAAAGAAATCCAGTCTGTGGTGCTCTCAGGCATGCTGAGGTGGTGTCAGCTGTCCACCATTATATGGAGCTTAATTCTAAGAGATGACTCAGACATTTGATCTGGAGAGTTTATGGGCTGAGCAATGGGTGGGGTCCGTTAGCCATTATGGACCATTAATCGATTAATAACAATAAGCTTTTCAATATTTTTAAACATTAAATTTGTTTGATATAATATATATAATAGGATTTTTGGATGTTTTATCATAAATCATGAAATCATATTTTAGAGGAAATGCAACTGTCAAAACCTGTGACATCCCAGGTAAATAAACCTTTGCGTAGCATACACTGGCTGGGGCACGCACTCGAAAATAATATCAAATTGTTTATTCAGAGTAAGAAATGTCAAATCAACAACATGTAACTTATAGGACAATTAAAAGTTATTTTTTCTGTCACTTGCATTTGTTTTTTTAGGCTACATATGTAATTACAATGGTCTGATTCTAACACCCATGAATATTGTCTTTGACATGATAAAACACATTTTTAATAACCAGAGGAAATAGTAATCAGAGTTTTGCATAAAGTTGCCGTAGAATGGAAAACTGTATTTACCTTGGCATAGTAAAATAAAAAGAGTTCAGTACACAGAACTAAATAAAGTAAGCCTCATTTCAGTTTGCTCCTTCATATGTAAACTTTGCACATGCAAAAGACCCCGGAAAAAACAACAAACCAACCAGCCAACAAGTGCTAGACGTGATGCGGATGTTGTTCAAGTTGGCTGTCTAAAAGCTAAAAAAAGAATGGAGAACAAGAGAGATAGGCGTTCTTTCAGCAACTGCCATTATTGTGTCAAAATCTAGGATGCAAAGAACATTGTTGTCTGTTGTAAACTTTGTGTGAGTAGCAAAAAGTTTTCAACTGACAACAATTCTAATCTAATCTATTGAAGCATCTGCTTCAGTAGTAGCTCAGCAATGTGAAACTCCGGCTGCCACTGCCAGATATGCGTGCACTCGATGGGAGAGAGTGACGTTAAGCAACATTTTGTGTTTTCTAAAAACACTGTGAAAGTAATATAGTAACGTAACAAGTAACGTATCTAGTTACTTTTAATACCCAGTATTAAGTAAAGTAGGCCTAATCTTATTACTTTTTAAGGAGAAGTAAGTAAAAAGTAATTTATTACAATTTCTGAATAACTTGCCCAACACTGGCAATAGGACAGCTAGCTGCACTGCTAACTGAATAGCTAAGAGCAGCTGCTGTTAGCAGTAGTTAGCAAATAACTGGTAACTCCGTAAACCAAAAGTTGAGGCAGACAGAAGTCATCAGAGGGAAAACCAGACAATATTTTCTCAGTCAAATCTGATCCAGTTTCACCAAAACCACAGAATAAAGTTATAAAATTGTATTTTTATATTCAGTCTATGTTTTTTGTGCATCAATCAGTGACGCCTATAGAGCCCTATAGAGAGATCTATCTCTCTCTCTCTCTCTCTCTCTCTCTCTCTCTCTCTCTTTTTTTGACACTTTATTAACCACAGACAGTGACTTAGATTTGCTATACATGTCAGAGGTCGCACTGGGGGATTAAACCCAGGTCTCTCACACCAAAGGCATGCATCTTATCCACTGGTCCATCACCATCACCACCCAAGACATAATAGTTTTACAGAATGGGTTGTGAGTCAGTTTTACAATTTAGAAACAAGACCATGTCTTCTAATCTAATGTCTTCTAGTGTTAAGGCGCAGAAAAATCATACAGCAACTTCTGTCCAGAATTCTTGAGAATAAGTACAATTAAAGAAAAGATGACTTATAGATTCAACTTCTAGTTTACAGAAAGAAAAAATACATTTTAAATTTGTTTGACAATTTATTACAGGGATAGTGTCCATGTTCCAAATTTTCATATGGACTTTTTATTAGTCTGACCAGATATCCTCTGCCAAGAGTTCCGGGAAGTTTAATTTCCATAAGAGAATCGATTTGTATAAGTCAATATGACCAGAGGTGAGAACTTGCTCCGCCCCTCTGTCATGCTTGGAGAAGAAGGCCGATCAGAAGCAAGTGGGCTAGCTAGTGGGCTGCACCAAACTATAACCACGTTTCCTGGCATGTCCATCTAATCTGCCTAAAGTTCTTTTGAGGAGTGGAGGAGAAGCAAAATACAAATAAGGTCTGGACATTTACAAGAGACTGGAACTACTGTAGACCATGCTTGTTCCCCTGTGGATAGCCTGAGGAAATGCATTTAGCTCTCTGTGTTGCCTCAAAAAATAAGGAACAATTAAAACACTCTCTGATCTCAGTGCATGGAACAGTTAAGTGCTCCTGCTTTCTCTTCAAGTTACTGTATTATGCTTATCATATACTAATTCTACAATTCTGAAAACAAAAGTGAAGACTATATAATTTACAAGTTTAGGGCATCTAAATCAGTCACACAAATGTGTTTGTATTTTCAAAATATAATTTGGTTGAAAAAAATGAATGTGACTAATCTACCCAACATTTCAGTGAAGGAAAACTAATAGCATGACCAGATTAACACCCTAGAACAAATTAGTTAACCTTTATTTAAAGTATAGGAAAAAGCAAGACTGTAACTTTTGAAAGGAGAAATAACACATTCTTCCTCTTACAAATGAAAAATGTAATTTATATGCAAACAAACACATGCTTGGGCCATTCAATACACAGGATTTATGCTGCTTCAGTTTTACTTGGTCTGGTATGATCTACTGTTACAGTAGCTAGTATTATCAAATTCTGATAGAAGCATTGCTTCAAAATGGTGATCAAGTTTGTTGACTTTATGACTCTTTTGTGACCTCCTGTTACACAACATTTTGGCTTTAATCATTATCTTGCATTTGTCTCTTGAGGCCACAGTAGCAAAATAAGTTCCTCTGTTTTTTTTGTTCCTTGCCTATAGAAATATGGAAAGTGGTCTTAGTATGCTTTTTGTATTCATACAAATGCAGAGCATTACCAATGCTCAAGTCATTTAACTGGATTTTCCAGTTATGAATGGAAGAAATCTGTAACAGTACAGGTGCTGGTCATATAATTATATCATCAAAAAGTTTATTTATTTCAGTAATTCCATTCAAAAAGTGTATAATGTATACATTCATTATTCACAGACTGATATATTTCAGTTCATTCCTTTTTGATTATATTAACTAATGAAAACCCCAAAATCAGTATCTCAGAAAATTAGAATATTGTGAAAAGGTTCAATATTGAAGACACCTGGTGCCACACTCTAATCAGCTAATTAACTCAAAACACCTGCAAAGGCCTTTAAATGGTCTCTCAGTCTAGTTCTGTAGGCTACACAATCATGGGGAAGACTGCTGACTTGACAGCTGTCCAAAAGACGACCATTGACACCTTGCACAAGGAGGGCAAGACACAAAAGGTCATTGCTAAAGAGGCTGGCTGTTCACAGAGCTCTGTGTCCAAGCACATTAATAGAGAGGCGAAGGGAAGGAAAAGATGTGGTAGAAAAAAGTGTACAAGCAATAGGGATAACCACACCCTGGAGAGGATTGTGAAACAAAACCCATTCAAAAATGTGGGGGAGATTCACAAAGAGTGGACTGCAGCTGGAGTCAGTGCTTCAAGAGCCACCACGCACAGACGTATGCAAGACGTGAGTTTCAGCTGTCGCATTCCTTGTGTCAAGCCACTCTTGAACAAGACACAGCATTAGAAGCGTCTCGCCTGGGCTAAAGACAAAAAGGACTTGACTGCTGCTGAGTGGTCCAAAGATCTGCTCTCTGATGAAAGTAAATTTTGCATTTCCTTTGGAAATCAATGTCCCAGAGTCTGGAGGAAGAGAGGAGAGGCACAGAATCCACGTTGCTTGAAGTCCAGTGGAAAGTTTCCACAGTCAGTGATGGTTTGGGGTGCCATGTCATCTGCTGGTGTGGTTCACTGTGTTTTCTGAGGTCCAAGGTCAACGCAGCCGTCTACCAGGAAGTTTTAGAGCACTTCATGCTTCCTGCTGCTGACCAACTTTATGGAGATGCAGATTTCATTTTCCAACAGGACTTGGCACCTGCACACAGTGCCAAAGCTACCAGTACCTGGTTTAAGGACCATGGTATCCAAATTCTGGGTTCAATCCCCCACTGTGACCCATCCACCATTGTGTCCCTGAGCAAGACACTTAACCCCTAGTTGCTCCAGAGGGGTGCAACCTCTGACATTGCGATTGTAAGTTGCTTTGGATAAAAGCGTCAGCTAAATGAATAAATGTATAGAGTTACTCAACAGTAATTGTTGCATTTGTAAAACGTGGAGTATTTGTTTGTGGGATTGTTAGCTCTAACATGTCATGGACACCACTTTTTTGTTCCATTGAATGTTTGAGGGCGCCATATTGTTGATTCAGAATTCAGACACTGAAATGAAATGGTAGACAGTAAATGGCTAATGTTTAGATATTGCTTTGTAAATGACATTCCTGACTTGTCCTGAATTTTTCTAAATGTGTTGCGGCTACACGATGATTTATTTATTACCAGATAGTAAACACACCCTGCTTACCGAAATGTTCATCTGTGATGCGGTAGAAAGTAGTGTGACAGTAGCTCAAGCAAAATAGAATAAAGTCAGCAAACTAGTTCAGTAATATCAGTTAGACAGCAATTGCTAAGTAAAGTTTAAATTATTAGCCACAAATAGCAAGTGATTTTACCAAACCAAATAAGTCTGTTGCAACAAATCATGAATATTTAATGTAACAGAGAAATACGTAAGATTTGAAGCCATGTTTTCAGAGTGGGCTCATCCCTATGTTCCCAGCATGAATTAAACCTACATTATAAGAGATTATCTTCGCATTTCAAATGGGCAAATGAACGAAGGGAGACAAGACAACTGAAATGAAGTATGTACGAATGGTAAAAATCCGTTCAGCCACTGTGGAGATAACAGTGTCTAGACTCAAGAGAACTGCCTTGCCCACAAATTAGGGGGCATAGGTTTCAAAGAGTTTAACATCAGTAGGCTTTAAACTGTGAGTCAGTTCAACACTTAACTCATTAACTCAGGGAAACATAGATTAAACCTTGGAACTATAAACACTGCAGAGAGTCAGGATACTGGTAAATACTAAAACACACGAACAAATCGAAAAGATTCGTGAAATCAACACATTTAATGGGTATTATACAGCAATACTCTATCTAATGTTAGCTAACACCAGCCACCATTAGCTATACCACCAACACTCATGGAGCTTACTGACGTGAACAACGGTGTGTTTTTCTGCTTATGAATACAACTTTTTGTGCATGACTGTACCCCTTTATGTGTTCTCATTACTTTCAGACCAATGTGGATGTACAGCAGGCCGGTGCTGCCCCATCATCTGCAGCTGAAGTCCAACAAGCATCTCAGAACCGCCCCATCACTGGAGGCGAGAGAATTGCCAGCCAAAACCAGGACCCACAGGCAGCTGTGGTTGGATCCATTGGTCAGGCTGCTGAAGAAAAACAAGCTATTCAGGATACTGGGAAAGACAAGCCGCCGAGTCAGTGCTCTGTAGCCGAACAGAAGCTGGCTTTGAGGCCTGCTGCTGGAGAGGGAACCAATAGCAGACCCGATACTGGCAAGGGGAGACCACAGAGCAATATGGCGGAGAAAGAAGCCAGCCAAGGAGTACCATCATCCTCTAAGCAGAGACACAGAGATGCACAACAAGACCAGTGAACTTGGACAATAGAAATAACCACTTCTTCATTTCATTCTTCGAGCTACAAAAATAAATGTGCACCAGTTGTTAATTATTTTAGCATGGCTGAAGTAGTTTCTAACTCATGAAAAGTAAATACATAGATTTGAGGGCAAGAATATAAAACACTTTTCTTAAAATATCTTTTAGTTAATAGATGTTTGCGTCATAATGATTACTGACTGAAAGGCTTGTTTTTGCCCACAAAATCCCCTTTACACTGCCTACATCCACCCGTCTCCTCCCTCCTCTCTCTGTGGCTCATACACTTTTTGTGGCACCTTTTTTTTAATCAGTTTTCCCTCCAGAATGTGTTCTTGTTCTTGCTCCAATAAACATTGCAAAAGAATAAGCTATTGTTTTCTCCTCTGTGGAAAGAGAAGTTGCCTGTAGATATGCCTTTGTCAGTGAGTGATTTGATTTGGCCCTCTCAAATTCTGGAAAAGGCTCAGCAACATTTTGCAGCATGATGGGCAATACATAAAGAAGAAACCCTGAATCTTTATACGGTCTGGCAGGAATAAAGGAGAACACACTGATGAAAAATGGAAAATGTGGAAAATAAGAAGATGCTTCTCATCCAGGAGCACACAGACTACATTTATATGAATTTCTTAAATGCGTAGTTGGCCTTCATGGACTGGCACAGACATGCTCTGATTGCAGGTGTGATGTGGATGGATGAACGAAGTCCTGAATCCTGTAAGGCCCTAGGTGTGATCATATTGACGTGTCTATTCTGATTAAGGCGTCTTACAGCGTCTAACATGTCTTTGACACTTGTACAAAAATAAACCACAGCACAATCTTGAATCTGTTATAAAACCACTAACCAGTTACTCCCTCCTCTACACTTCAACATTTAAAAACAATGGACAATAAAAATAACCACTTCTACTGTGTGTGTCCCAAACTGTGACACACATTACATGACATATTAAATAAGCCACAGAGTTGCTTACTTGTTAGCTCATTTGAACTTTTTCATCATTGCAAATCTCCTTATTATGTTAAAGAGACACAACATGTTATCACAGATCTTGGTCAAACATTTTCTTCATACTGACACTAGCTTTACAAAGTTGCATTAAGCACTGGATTGTGTTAAACAAAAGGCACAAAAGTCACATGTTCAGCGTGCATAGAAAGGTCCAGCAGATCAAACCAGGATAAATTATTAATCTGGCAGGAGGAACGATCCAATCCTACGCTTGGTGTGGAGGTTCAGGCTTTGTTGAGATCCTGATTTTCTGAATGATCGCCCAATCCTTCTGCCCGTCTGTGACTTGTATCCTCAAACAGGAAGAGGCAGAGCTATACTTTTTGTCCATCTCCTGCATCTCAAACCTGCCATTCTGCAACGTCCCCACTGAATTGAACTCTGTACAACTCTTCTCCCCGTTCTTGGTGGGAACCACGTCACGGCCAATCTCCACCAGAGCTGACTCCAGGAGATCTTTGCCCCCTGACCCTGTTTCTACAAATATGCCCGTCACTAGTGCAGGATTTGTGAACACCACAGTCAGGTGATTTCCTTTTTCTGGGGAGCGTCCCCAGAAGAATCCCTCGCCGGCATCCCAGGCCAGTTTGGGGATGTGTGTCTTGTAGGGTGACATATCAGAGAAAACCTCAGCTGCAGGATTGGCGTATAACCCCTCTTCAAAGTCCTTGTCCTTTAGCTTGTTGTATGTCCCTTGGAACGAAGAGAAAGTCCCCATGTGTTGGAACAACGAGGGCTTGAAGAAGATTTGCTCTTTCTGAGTCAGCAGCACTCGGAAGTGAGCCATCAACCAGTCGCAGGGCATTTCCTGGTAGAAGACGAAGAGGAAGCGGGCCAGGAGAGGAAGGTGGGCTGATTTGTAGAGTTTCCCGATGTAGCCAAGGGCTGAGAACTCCAGCGTTGCCCAATTGGGGGACTTAGCCTCTTGCTCCTCAACACGCCTCTTGATGGTGGTAAGAAAGTTTTTAGCAGAGGAGATGTCGTCCTCCAGTTGAAGATAGTATCGGCTGAGACCGGCACTGTAGTGGATCAGGAAGGAGTAATCCAGGTTCTGCTTGGAGCGGAACGACACCCTATCAGGGGCATCGTTGAAGTTCCTCTTTAGACCTGAAGGAGAGCCAGAGATACCTGTATCAGTATTCCAGCAACAACAATACACTCATCACATGGATGTGAATGAATCTGTACACTAGAAGGATCAGGCACACTGCACCTGTTAGAGGAGGGTACCAATCCTGAGGAACATGGAGGACCACCAGGTGTCCTTGTTCCAGCTCGGAGGCAAATGCAGTTTTGATCTCTCTCACTGTAGTGACTCTCCAGCCGTCATCGAAATCTGCTAGCAGCACTATCACCACCATGGAAGAGCGCTCTTCAGGAGACGACTGGGAGAAGAGCGACTGCAGGGTGGGGATTAGATAGCTGCCCTTCATCCTCTTCACCGATGATAATCCAATAGACAAATACCCTGAAAAATGCCATAACAGAAACCAAATAAAGATTTTTAAGCATTTCTACTGTAGCACTAATCATGATCTTTAATCATTTGAAAGGATGAATGAATGAATGTTCTCAACACACATGGTTAAATGTGTCAAAAGTTGGGAGAGCATTTTTATGGAAGCCCAAATGATTTAATGAAAATCACTAGGCCCTGCAGTGGGTATCACGCTGTGCCGTCATAAATCTACTGAGCCCTCTGACGGGTGACACAATTCTCTAACTAAACTGTACTTGGATGCTTCTCTCACCCAAGCAAAGACTAGATGCTAAACTACTCAATTAAACCTTATATGTAGATTCTATTAGTTTAGTGGGCATTTAGATCAAAATCAGCCATTTCAAAACAAAAGTGCCTCACTAGATGTTGCACTGCAGCAGAACTTGAGCCACGTTAAAACTTTCTTTGCTGAAGCCACCTGCGTTCACAGACTGCCCCCATTCAAAAGGCTGCTTTTATCATGCTAAGCTAAAGTCTGCCTGAACACGGCCTCAGACTAAACTGTCGTGGGTCGTGAGCATAGACTGTATATAAAAAGGTCGTGAGTCAACCACCATCCCTGCTTTTCTAATTTGACTAGTTTTACAAACAGTCAAGAATAAGCAACCCCTCTGGTATCAGAAACATTTACATGCATGAAACATGACACTTGACCCATGGTCGATGCCTTAACCCCTAAGCTACAGGGGGGCCTGCAAGTTCAGTTAACAAAGACAAAATGTAATGTCGCAGGATGAAGTTTATCAAATAATCACAGCATGATTAAGATTTTGTTCTGGGTCTAAACTGCAAATTTCCTCTCTAACTCCACAGGTCAGCAACAGAAGACTGGGAAAAAGTTGGTGGTGTGAGGGGTTTGTTTTATTTTCCTGCTCAGCAGCATGAGAAGTGTACACATGTGTGAAGGTGAAATGTGCAATTTTTAAGAGTAAAATATTTTGTAAAAATATATGCTTTTGTTTTTCAGCTCTTTCAATGACCTCTTTCTGCGACAAAGCGGCAGCTTAGAAATAACCTTTGCACAAAGTAAATAACGATCATGTCAAGGGACAAACAAAATGTGTCACTCACTCTGCTGAGTGGATGGTGCTCCAGCAAGCAGCTGATAGGACACATTGAAAGGCAGGTAATCTCCCTGTTCGACCCAGGACTCCTTACTAACCAGCCTATCTGCTTGCCAAGTTAACTCCTTTGGAATCTGTTCGTCTGACCTTGTCCAGCCCTGCAAAACAAATGTGTTTTTGAAGAATATGTGTGTATTCAAATGTCTTGTTATCAATAGTCATGGCACACTGTTTTCAACACACTGAAGAGCATGACAAAATTTTCCTTTTTTAAATGCAAGCTAGAGCAGTATGAAACTCTCCCGCTCAGCTAATGGGTTGAAATGTGTATCATTCTGTGTGGGATTGTTTGGCAGGATGGGTGTACACTCACAGAAATGAGGAAGTCCGAATGGCTAATGAAGTACAATGCCCCGAGGAGCAGCAGCACTGCCAAAACAACATTCTTCTTCTTTGAATGACGTCGCATTTCCTATCACACACACACACACACACACACACACACCCATTATACTGGTGTGTAACTCAGTCACCACAACAGTGATCAATTCAAATAGTTAAAGGTTCAGTGTGTAAGTTTTAGTGACATATAGTGGTGAGGGTTGTGAATTGCACCCCCCTCGCCTATCCAAGCGAGTTGTATAGCTATGGTGCCACAGTTTCCACTACAAGAAATGAGGTTTCTTTAGATTTCTATGTCAAGAAATTTTATTTACTTAATTATTCAGTAAAACCATATGTTATAGTGAATATTATTGTTAATTGTTCACTAAACAACAGCTACATCAAGAAATGAAGTGCTACATGGTGTCTCATACTCCTGTAATACATTATTTTACTGTACTTTTTGTTACATCTTGGGAGGGTTGGCTCATCTGGACTAACATACCAAAGTAAATAAATAACATCTCAAAAACACATCTAGGGCATCAAGTATGACTACTTACTGATACCAGGACAATGTAAGCCTCACTGCTTCTGCACCACAGTCCATTATAAAACACATAATCCATGAAGTTTACAAAGGCATAGTGAGGTGCGGATCAAGGCTCCTCTCGCTTTGCTTAATAAGATAAGCAAATCTTACCAAAATTTATTTTTAAATTTTTTGAAATACAACAAAAACACAAAGTAGTACTGACAGCCCTAATTTCAGCTTGTGGTAAAACGTTTTTAATGGGTATTTAGCATGTGAAGTACAAATTACACATTTGTGTGCACAGTAGTGAAGAAATATCTATGTTTTAATATATTATTGGTCACTTGATATGGTCTTGTTATGTATCACATTAGCAGTAAAAATAAATACATGTTTTCCTCCATATTTGACTCCCGAAGGTAAGGGCACATTTCTGTCCACGTTGCAAACCCATAACAGAGTGCTGGAGAATAATTACATGAAATTACAATCCAACTACATTTTTTTTTTCTACCATGGCAGTAAAGGTTTAGCTGGCTGATCTGAGCTTCTATGCTGGAAGCTGCCGTTTTATTGCCAATTAACGACCAGTTACATGAAATTAATCCAGCTACCTACACCACTGACAGGAGAAACACGCCACTTTTCTGGGTGATTATGGCCAGCTTCTAGCTAAAGCTATCAAACAATAGTTTTTATTTGCATGGCTGAAGTCCGACTCAGTTAATTACCTGTCCAGCAGAAAACAGACAACTTCAGCACCGCTTTGAAAACATCTGTCCCAAATCAGAGCCTTCCATCTGGGAAAATCCACACCGATTATATCCGTGATTTCTGCTGTCATCTGTCTGTATCTGTCCTGACTCTGTCTGGCTTCATGGTATAAAGATCCACAGGCTGTCGGCTCTCGTGCTAAATAACATAACAATAATATGTGTGCTCGTTCATTTGTCCAAATGTCATTTCTCTTCTTACTCCTGATAAACCAGAGGACTACTCAGAGACAGTATATTATTATTATTGTTATTATTTCCTCTTCTTCTTCTATGGACGCATTTCATGTAGTGACGGGCGTCTACACTGCCAGAATTATACAAGCAGAAGTAGAACACCGTGATGATGAAAAGTGCTCTGTGGCGACACAATATGTCAGCCTCCATGGACGGGGGACCTGCGGTTATGTTATTGCATTTCTGTCACACAAAAATGTAATATAAGATTCATTATTATGTTTTCAGTGGCGTGTCAAGTCCTTACATAATAAACTGTTTTTCTCCCATTAAGTTAATATACAGCCTATTACAATACACATTTCAACGTTTAATGCTGTAAATAAACATGTAAAAAGAATAAAACTTTCAATAAATGTTTTTAAAGTGCATGAATAAATCCAAAATATTAACCCTAACCCTGGGTAGTCAGTGCGCATGTGTAGGCCTGTATGTGTTTAGTGGCAGAAGAGGTAACACCGTTGATGAACCACAAAAAGAATATTTTACCGTTTTTAAATAGCCGGCTACTTGAAATAGACCCGCGAGGAAACGCGACGTGCATGCAGTTGTCGACAGCACGCAATGCACACAAAACTCTGCACAAAACCGGTGAATGGCAGGCAAGAGAGAGAGAGAGAGAGAGAGAGAGAGAGAGAGAGAGAGAGAGAGAGAGAGAGAGAGAGAGAGAGAGAAAAGGGTCTTCAAAAAGCCTCAGTTTAGCAGGAAATTTACAGTGTAAGTTGAATAAAGAGACTGCAGCTCCGCAGCTTCTCAAGATTAAAGCGGAGCCCTAATAATTTCTTAATATATCTAACTAAAGAAACCTCATTTCTTGACTGGCCACTCTCTGCTGTTTGAGCAGGTACACCTTTTGTGCTGCGTCATCCACTGTAGCTGTCCTACGCTCTTTGAAAGGTTAGGGGGCAGTGGTAGACTGGACAGATGGCTGCAATTCACAACCCTCACCACCTCTAGATGCCACTAAATCTTACACACTGAACCTTTAATGAATGTTTTAGAAGGCTCAGAGATAGCAACCGGTTAGACAGGTTAGATTGGACTGTGTGCGTCGAGGACATGATTATGGCTAGCTCTCTGTGTTGATGAGCCTGATCCATACATTTACAAGATCATATTTACAGCATGTGTCAGATACTGCAGATAGTAAGGTCTAGTAAAGGACATTTCACCGATCAAAAGTCCCTCAACATTGTATTCTCTTCTGCTGTATGTTAAAGCTTATTACTAAATCAGTAGTAGTATCAGAATGTAGAATCTGGCTGACGTCAAATCCTCGTTGTCTCACACTGTCAATCACAGTTAACCAAATATTTTTGTCTAATATTATCAGTATAAAACAGTGCGGATGTAACGATTTTGAAAGCTACTTTTATCTGGCTGAGACTTTTAGTTAATGAATCATGCTCTTATCTTTTTCTATTTCCTTTTACCCACCTCTTCTCACAAAAAGTGGCTGTTTCAACATGCATGTGCTTGCTATGAGCACGGCTGATTTACAGTTTAAATAAGTTTACACTATTACACAATGTGATCCCAGCACAGAGTCGAGTTTTCATATGTGAAGGCAATCTTAAATCCTGACAGAGTGGGATTATCTGTCATTAAATCAAGATGATTCAAGTGCCTATAGGGGCAACATAAGACTGGAACAACCTCCCAGCAAAAAAACTAAAAAATATTCACACAAACTTTGTTGATTCTTATTTATAATTTATTGCTGTAATTCCTTGTGAGCTTTTTATCTATCATATTAGTACTATGTTTGTATTTACATAGCTAAACTTAATTGCACATAATTGTGTAATATTACTCATAATTATATAATTGAGAGATTATTGTTCACCAATAAATTTCACAATGTAATATTATATTGACCACAGCCATTAGACAGTGCTGACTGTCTCCCACCTAGTGTTTTTACCTTTTTCTATTGCTGTTTGGCACTTCTGATTTTCTTTGGTCTTGTCTAGTTGCAGTGGGTTTATGGCTCTGCTGGCAAAATACTATTTAACAGGCAACAGATGAGAACTTTCCAGTGAGTGGGGGAAGTAGGCTAGTGTGTGAGCACTGTATAAACTGGAGTGAATGGATCGAGGTTGACCTCTAGGTTTATATTTAGCCAAGTCAGTCTGCTCCCCTCTGCTATTTACAGGCACTGAAAAATAAGAATGCCATTAAAGTCCAGGAAACATGTTAAGATGGTTAATATCTGGTCAGACTCTTCCTGGTGTACAAGACACACAGAACAGTACGATGAAAGAGTTCACTGCCTTTGTTTTGTCAACATGTACACAGAACCTCCATGGCTAACACTAATTATAGATCAGGCCTCCTCATCTATAATTATCCTCCTCTGCTTCAAATTCAAAACAATGTTTACTCTTGTATAACGGAGTGGATATTAAACCGTGCTGCACAAACCTACTGACACTGATGACGAGCTTCCTCTTTAAAAAAAATAAATAAATCAATCAATAAATCCATAATAAAGCTACCAGAAGAAATCCGCAGCTGGTCCTTTCCGCGTGTCCCGACTGATTCAATTAAAGTAACGTCGGCTGCTCCCAGGGAAAATACACAACGTTATCATTGTTGGTTATTACTGAGCTCCAGGCTCTCTGTTCGAACAGGCTGTTTAAAAATAACACAACACACAATTATGGGTAATAACTAGTTAGTGTTAAGCTGAAGCACGTTTCAGACTACTGCGTACATACCTAATTATAATGGGTTAATTATATTAATTAGCAAAATTATAATTAGGCTCCACTTGAAAAAAGTATCGTAACGTTTGAATGCAGCCTTGCAATAGCGACAGTATTAAAGAGTAAAAAAGTTGAATAAATCAGAATAATACCGCGAGCTCCGCCTTCCTCCTGTTGAAGAAGTGGGAAATAAAAAAACAGAGATCGCTGAATGTGTCGCAGATACAGGCTAGTGCCCTCTCTGCGTGTAGTAAAGTACGTGTGACAGTCAAATATCGCTCAGTTGCTGTTGAAGTAGAAACGAACGTCCGCTCACCTCCTCAGCGGCTCGCTCAGCCGGCGGCTGGCCGTCTTTCAGCGGGCTCCGCTCCCTGAGGCTGGACTTATAAGGCACGGAAAGTCACAGGAGACATCAACGCAGATGGAACTAGACGCGCCCGTTATCTGCATATAACAAGCCACATCCTCTTTCCTCCCCATAGCCTGAATGAAGTCCTTCCTCAGCGCTGCACGGGTGAGAGCACGAGCCACCAGGTGTCAGCCGCTTTATAGAGCCAGGTGTGTCGTCACTGTTGACAGATATCCAACCGCCTGCTACTTAAAGGCAACAGTCACAGGACCTCAGTCTACGGCAAGCCGTTTCAGCTTTTATTCGTTAAAACTTACTAATCGCTATTTAAAAGCTAATTGTATTCTACTTCTTTATTAGTAACTAGTAACTTTACCGATAGTAGTAGCCTACGTTTTAACAATTGATTATAGCCTATTACATTATTAGTTAGCCTAGTAACTATTCCCTTAGTTAGTTACTAGTATTTTTGCCATTGAAATCTATGGGGCTTTGCAGTTCAGATATCTCCCATTCATCAGTTAGGCTATTAGTAACTATTCCTTTGTACTATTTTCTATTATTTCAATACTAGTACCTATTCATTAGTTACTAATAACTATTCCAAAAGATACAAGTGACATTTTCATTCTTACTAGTCAACTTTTTTTGTAACTAGTCATTTTTTAATGACTACTAAAGTGGCACAAACAAACAAACTAAACAACTTGATAACTTCAATGATGCAAATTGGCTGGTAAATATTAATGATTATTCTACACTTGGATTAGGTCAAGAAGAGGAAAGAGATCTGTAGTCTAGCTTTACATGTCTGAAGTGCAAAATGGCAAGTGTTATGGAACAAACCTGGCGAAAATGCAATGAAGTCAAAACCATACATTTCAAGGACAAAAATGTGCAATTACTCACTGATAACTAAAAAATAGTTACTAGTAACTAATAAATAAGTACTAGTAGCTTATAAATAGCGACTTACTTTTTAAGGAATAAATATTTTGATGGTTTTCCATACCCAGCAGGCCATGTACCGCCTTCCTAAAACACATACAAACGCATAACAGTGCAGAAAGAAATCAAGTGTTTATTGTTTTAAGGCAATTCATGTGTTTGCATTTACATCATGATAGCCTCCAATGTACATACATACACACACACACCAGTAAAATTTAATCTACATTCAAGGGTAGGCATCTGGTTAGAGCTTAGAGGTGCACACAGAAATAAGAACAGTATTCTTAATGCCTTTCAGTTCCAGAAAGCACGCTTAGTGAAAACTCTGAGTTTGTTAACTTAGAAAGAAAGAAAGGTAACTCAAACTCTGGGTCAGTTTCAGTTGACTCTGAACTAGTAAGCAGCTGGCAGGTCTTCTTCAACAACTCTTGTTTCGACTTTCTGTGAATGAGTAAGGTGGTTGCTTCCATCAGGGCATGTGTCTGACTGCAGTGAGGCTAGTCCTCCATGGTGCCCCCAGTAGGCCAAACCTTTACCTAACCCCAACTATTCTTTAATCTACTTATTATGGCTCAACTCTGAAAAAACAGCAAACTGAGGAGATTAGTGGCCCTCAGCTGAACTTTACTTCAGTGTGGTCTTGTTAAATCACATTCTGACTCCAGTTAAGACTCCTCTCTTGCATCAATTATTTCAGCTGATGATGTGTCTGTGTGTGGTTGTGATGCATATTTAATTTTGCTCTGAGGACAGTGTGTGCAGTACAGTGGTGATGATGGAGAGAAACCCCTTCAGAGCTTTGTCATCTCTTGGTTGCTGCTTCAGAGTCACTTTTACTTCCTCCTCTTCTCCGTTTATTCTCACCAACTCTCTCCCACTCAGCCCATCAACTGTGGCCTCCTCTCCCTCTTTCACCTGCTTCTCTTCCCCGCCCTCTACAGCTTCCTTACTAACTACTTTCTGATTTGCCTCTCCAGTGTACAGCAGCTCCCCCAGTATGAGCGTGCTGTGGGGTGTGTTGCCAGAGTGTGCGCGTTGGGTGTGTGTGTACAGGTAGACCCTCCAGGGGAGTGTGTGCGGTGGCGTGTAAGCCAATGTCTGGATATTGACCAGCTGCATCGCAGCCTGAAGGCTCTGTGGTGAACAGTGAGTTATCGCAGGGCATTGGACACATTCTTCCAAACACACATAATCCTCCTCCTCTTCTGTTTTCTCAGCACCTAGCGAGAAAACAAGGAGAAAAAGTCAGAGAAACTGATGCCAGACAGACAAAAAGAAGTAGCAAGAACAGAACATACTTATGTACTTAATAGTACTTGAGGAAATGTACTTAAATACTGTACATTCAACCACAGGAGATTTTGTATTGGTTTTTACATTTTTTACTGCAGGCCTGTTAGCTCCTGTCAGCGACAATTCCTGTCCCGTCAAAAGGGAAGCCTTCTGCAGAAAAGAGTCCCCTTACATTTAATTACCTTGCTCAGTCTGTCTCTGCAGCCACAGACGCTGAAACTCCTCTGGGCTGAGAGCTGGGGAGAGGGACAAACTGAGGGGGACTGCATCGCTGGAAGCCAGGACATCAGAAAAGGAGTTTGTACATCTATTAGCACTGTCTGTGCCTGGATTGGAAGGACAAAGAAGGGGAAGATGCAGGAAAGGAGGAAAGGAAAGAAGGGCAACGAAGAGAGAGGATAAGGGCGCAGCAACAGCAAGCCAAACAGTGGACGGGGAAGGAGGATGTGGTTAAAGTGGAAAGGAGACAGGGAGTTAGGATGAGTGATTAAAAGTGGCACTGCATTCTCAGAAATGAATCCTTACCTTGGGGGGAAAAACTCCCAGTTTTTGAACAAAAGTATGTAAAGCTGGATCCATGGGGAAGTGGCATGAAGATATTTCTGACCCTCAGTGACCTTTCTCAGTAGTTTCAGTAAGTATTCAGAGCACTTTACCTATTGCACTCATTGTGTTATAGATGGATACAAACAAACCTTTGACATGGCATTAGAAATTTAAAAAAGTAAAAAAAAGATATAAGCAATAACCCATTACGACAAAGCAAAAACACATTTATAATTAGTTTTAGCAAATTTATAAAAAAAAAAAAGTATTCACAGACTGATTCAGGAACAAACGACATTCCCATCAGCCTCTGATTTACTTTGTATTTAGTACCAATAAGCAAATGTTAGTTTTCTAACATGCTAATCTAAACTGGTGAACATGGTCAGCAAGTTAGCAAAGTCATTGTTAGCATGTTGTAGTGACGAAAAAAAGTTCAGGGCTAGGCCAGTTATAAACCCAAAACTTTTCTTATCATCCAAAAAACCTCTCTGGAAACAGTCAAAAATCGGTGCAAAAGGGTTTTTATTCCATTAAAAGACAAAAACCTGAGTCACATCCTAGTAGGCATCAGGATGAATAAGTAAGTGCGCAGTTAGCGCACATTTCCTTTTGCAATCCTCAATCTCCTCCCATTTAGGCGGTGTTTTTATGCAATTCCCCCCCTTTTTTTTGTTGTAACAACATGGTTCTTATATTTTTTGAATGCTCTAATCCTGAAAATCACCATTAGAACTTTTAGAAGGTCAAATTGTACCTTTTCAAAGACAAAACATACAGTACATAATTAGATACCATTAAAACTCAAACACGATTGTATATTTTAAAAAGATATACATGTTTTTCTGATCAAATAGTCATTGTAAAATCAACCATAGTACTAATGGACTGTTTGATTCTATTGCTCAGGCCTTTGCGCTATTGCCATTGTGACTCAGCAACTTCTCAAAACTGACGTGTTTACCGTTATTCTCTAGTCTGTGGTGTAGTTCAGCAGTTTGATACTTTTTATCGGTCTTGTGTTTCCAAAAACTACTAGTCACGACTCTGCAAATAATAGCATATAACACATACACAGTGTAGAGGGAGTATGAGAGGGAATGATTACTGACGCAATCTTTCTTCAATAACGTCATCATTTAAGGCAATAACAATTCAACTATAACATAACCTAAGATAAAAATAACACTTTAAATGATGACAATGTAGACTATTATGATTGCTCTAATAATTAATAATAACAATTTAGACTATAATATAATGCTCTAAGAATTTACACATCATTAGCACGGTGACGCTGGCGTTTAGTGAAAAGCACTGGACTCGTTGTTATGCCACTGCCCTTCTACTGGCTTAAGCTACTTCTCACTGGCATCCTGCTATGTGAAACTTAAAAATGACCTGTCACTCCCATCCAAGGAATGTTGAAATCAAGGGCAACTGGACTTGGATGAAGATACTCAAAGACTTTCCATTACTCATCCAAGAGACTTCTTCAGTTCTGACTGACAGGGTAGGGAAACTCAGCTATTTAACCTCTGTGGGGTTGTTGTGAAAGATGATCAATTCTGCAGGTTCATTAGTGCTCCTGGATGTTGTAACGACAGTCGTTATGGTCGTTGGAGCCAAGTCTGAACTACCATCGTTGGCATCCTCACCTGGGGCAAAAAGTTTCCTGGGAAGTGATGAAGGGGATAAGTGGAGTCGCAGACCCCCTCCTCTGTTACGCGACGGCTTCTCACCCCGGGTGTAAATGGCTTCCTTGACACCTCTTTCAAACCATCCATCCTCTCTGTCTAAAATGTGTAACTGATGGTCCTCAAATGAGTGTCCTTTATCCTTCAGATGTAGGTAAACTGCTGAGTCTTGACCTGAGGAGTTAGCCCTTCTGTTTTGAGCCATGTGTCACAATGTGGTTGCGTTAACTCTTCTTTCCCCCACTCCCTTTAGTGTTGTTCTTTCTGGATCTTGCGGCCAAAGGTCCATTTAGGATATTCCACAGGCTGTAAGTGCCCCCTTCAGGTGGTTCTTTTCCTTTTCTTGGGCTTCATCACTTGTTGATATGTTCTCAACTCGGTGGTGCAGAGTTCTGATGACCCTTCTTCCAGAGTAGTTTACAGATCTGGTCAGGGCTGAGGCTAGTTCTGTTATTCAGGGTGTTGCCTTGTATCAGTTGTGTCCTAACGGTTTCTACTGCCTCCATGGTGGAGGAGGAAATGTAAAGAGTATGCTCAGCTCAGAAACAACATACTGTTGCTACTATAGGTAGCTGCTGTGGTGTGTTTAATCCTTTGGTCAGAATGTCTTGCTCTGGTTGAGTGAGTTCCCTATCTGACAGGTTTTTCACCCATCTGTTGTCGTTCTTTCTCCTTGTGACGGACCACCGTCACTACGGTTGAGTATGCGCTGTGACTGCCATTTCAACGAGCCTGGCTCTTTGGCGTTGCGGTCAAGTTGCATGTTTGGTACCCTGCAGACCCGGGTTCAAAAAAATGGGGTTACTGCTCTTGCCTTTCCGTCACATTCCTCCTAGAAAGTTATTTTTCTTGGGATCTCCAGCTGGTGACTGTAGGTTTTGGAACTCATGGGTCTGTCTTTCCTTGCTCTTGCGGTGTAAGCTGTCCGATTCTTTGTTCAGGGCTTCAATGGTGACATAGATCGGTCTCGCTCTCTCATTCAATAGTTGGTGTTGTGCGTTTTCCAGGATCATTCCAGCGCTGTGTCCTTTTACTGTGGAAGTGTAGGCTGTTAGGTGTAAGTTTATGTTGTCTGTATCTCAGGTTAAACCGGAGGTGGTTTCTGTAGTCTGCAAGACCAGTTGCCCTTGATTTTAACCTTCCTTGGATACATACGACCTGGATGACTGAGAACATTCACAACCTGTAACTCTTGTTTAACTGAAAGACACCAGTTTTGTGTGGCAAATCCTGTACAACTCTTTATACAGTAGTATGTTGACTGTTAGTGGTGTGTCACTCATCTTCTACTGGCACGCCCCCTGCCGCAGGCTTATGACAAATCTTTTATTGTCTATTATTACGCACCACAGCTCATTTTGGGGTGTTAAAGCAAAGGCACTGAATACTTCCTGTATGTAAAGGAGAGATTTCAGTTTTGATTTTTTACACATTTTCAAAAGAAAATGCCTTTAGAATCACTGTCAGACAGTTACATTTATAACACAATGAAGTGCACAAAAAGTGAACTTTCTGAACTTACAATTATGATAATACCACTGTAATTCTTGGATTGAGCACAAGGTTTTATTGGTTCTGTAGCTGCAATTCCCGCAGGCCAAAAAATAAGTTATGAAAACTAGAAATATCAGCAGCTTGTTAGAAGCCAGTGAATCAGTGGAATTCATTGTTAAACAGCCTTAATAGTCTCCTGCAGATATATTAGCCATGTTCTCTTCTGTGAGGCAGTAAAACCAGTATATTGCAATTTAATATAACAGCTTTCCCATAAATTCTACATTTATGGGAATTCAACAGTTCACAATTCTACTGGTGATGGCACAGCTGTGGGTTCAGAAGGAAAGGTAACACAAGCTTCTCGTGGTTCTCAACATCTACAGAGGTACATCTGCGTAAGAAAGGATGCCACTAAACAGCAGCCATGTAGGAAATCGGGCCGCTGAACTGCTCAAGCTGCAGGACAGACGACACACTGATCTAGACCCGACCGATCAAAAATGGGTGTAATCCATACAGTGTCTACCCGATTTTATTGGCTTCATTTTCACAGTCCTTCCCCTCACTGTGGGGCCTGAAAGGGAGTTTTACAGGAAGATAGCACATTTTATCAGCCTCGTCCGTGTCTCCCTATTTCTCCTCACTTGTTTGTTCAGCATTTCAATATCCCTCCTTCTCTGCTTGTTTAGTTGCAAGCGCACTCTACAGTCACCAAATGTGTTTATGTCTCTAGGGGTGGAAATATTTGTCTGCCGGTCGGTCCACACTGAAATGCCTGTTGCAATAACTACCAGATGGACTGCCATGTGATTGTGTATAAACATTCACGGCCCCAGGAGGATGAATCCCCTGACTTTTTCTCCAGTTCCACATTTTTGGCTTATCTAAAAATGTCTCGCATATCGCTGCCCCTTCTCCTCAAATGGTCTTAAATGAACTGCGTGGCTAATACATCTGACCCAACATCCACTGACTGTCAGGCACATTATACACTACTAGCTAGTTAGTCAGGAAAACTGGTGAATGCGAGACACCACAGCTACAACCGCTTCACCTATGATAACACAGTAACTCCACCAAGATGGTAGAAAGACTGGATGTTATAGAGCTGAGAAAGTAACGTGTTAATTTTACATTTTGACTACAATATTACAAAGAAAAATACTGTAGAGAAATACTGTGTAACTTCATTAAAGGCCTCGCCACTGTACACTCACCTGCATGAACCGTGTCACCTTGGCTACAGTTCAGTGTGCCTGAGAGGTCGGTGTTAGGCTTGGGGTCAAATGTCACATGTTCAGGGCTTCCTCTGCTGGCGGACTCTGTCTCTACGGCGCCCTGTCTCAGAGGCTCCAGAGTGTTAAAGCTGCATGCCCACTGACTGATAGGCTCCGCTGGGCGGCCAATCAGAACACCCAGAGACGGGTCTGACCTCCGACACTGAAGGACCCTACGTGTCTCTTCTATCCCACAGTGTAACAGGCGGTAGTAGAGAAGCGCCTGGTCACGCACACACATGTCTGTCTCCTCCTCTGAAAAACACAAGAGCGTTAACGATATCCTCGCTTTCTCTACCACACACACACACACACACACACACACACACACACCTATGCAGTAGTGCAGCAGTCTTCCAAGCATGTCTTGTGTCTCAGCAGGCCGGCACAAAAACAGCCTCATGGTGGTCGTCAGCAGCTCCATCTTGACTCCCAGAGAGGACTCGCTCCTCACTCCATCAATGAACACCTCCAAAGTGTAGGGGGCGCTGGAGACTCGCTCCCCATACACACCCAGCAACCACAGCAGGGCCTGCCTGCCCTAATGGGGAATGAAGAGAAGGAGAAGAGGATTAGTACTAAGTTTAAACACCCAATGAGATGTTTTGAGTTACTCTGGCCAATCAGTGTTCTGCTCAGGTTTAAAGGTACCCTTCCTGTGAACTTTTTAACCACTAGTAGTGAATATAGTGCAGTAGATGACGTGAAGCACGGTCATCCTGATGATTACACACCGTTATTTTGATCAGGAGTAGGTTCCAAAAATCGTCTATGCAAATGTTTTACGAGGATGGAAATGCATTCAACGTGTTTATTAGACACACAATGAGCTCTGGTGAGAAACGCTGAATGTAAACATAACTTTTTGAGTTTACAAGAAACTCCACGTGACAGCATTTAGTGCCTCGTGAGGAGTAAACAGTAAAACGTGTTGTCTGACCATGTCTGAAGGAGAAGCTGTTAATTGTTTCTGCATTCATAGATAATTGTGCAAATGGAGATAATATGGCACACCTTGAGAGAGTATTTCCCTGAAGGTAAGTGACATGGGAAATCTCAATTGCCTTCGTGTGGGGCGTGGGAAATTTGAGGGCTGAATTTCACACAGTTTTGTAAACGCTCTGTATTTATATAGCTTTCTAGTCGCCTGTTCGACCACTCAAAGCACTTTTACATTCACCATTCACACACATCTATACACTGAGCCTAAGTGCTCACACAGAATCAGACACCAAATGCAAAGTGGAGTTTCGATATACAAACAGATGCATGGCATGTGGTTGTTGAGGTTATTAGTTCAAAGGAAACAAGCTTATGTGTTATAGTTCACACTACTTGTGTGAAGTCGATCAGTTCATTCATTCATTAACATAAAAAGTACAACCACCAATAAAATCTCTATCTTTTTTTGAATTGTAGATTGTTTGCTTATTAGTTCCACATAGGCTGCAAACATGCCTGTGTACATGGAAATGACTAACCAGATAATCAGATACTGGGCACACTACTACAATGCATATATCAATAAAGGAACATCTTCTCAGCATTATATAATCAATATTAGTTATCTTATCAGCTACACATAAAATTAAACATTAATGAATCAATAATTATAATCCAATATTATAACATTTTCTGAACTGGGCTAATCTGCATGATGACTACTTTTACTCTTGGTACTTTTATTATATTTTGGATGTTAATACTTGTACTTTACTAAAATTTAAGGTTTACTTCTAAGACCACTTCTAACAGACTATTTCTACATTGTGGTATTTATACTTTTACTTAAGCACTTAAAATATGAGTACTTCTGCCACCACCTGCTGTTGCAGAGTATTGTGTATAATATTTGTGGAGATGAATTTCAGTGTGGATCTAATGTGGCAAGAAGCTTTAGAAACTATTCAGAAAGGATCTCTTTCCCTCCAGCATGTAAAAACTGAAGTTCAAGTGCAGCTTTCAACCAACAGCAGGACTGTGATGTGGTTAACCTGCAAAATGTCACTGAAAGAGACCAAAAGTGGCCGCAAGGGACTTTTATGTGCCTGTGCCGTGGGGCCCATTCTTTCACAATCTGTCCATGTGTACAATACTAGTACTATACCTCAACAATTGCCTTAAGTACAGGGATTAATATGCATTCAAGCATGCTGACAAGAACATGTCACCATGCTTTAAAACAAAGATAATGAGCAAAAAAGAAAGAGGAGAGAATTAAAAAGAACATGCGGAACTCAGTAGTGACACACATTTCCTGGCTAAACTAACCTAATTTAAATGTTTGCTGCAGAGCAGAAGCTGGCAGGAAGTAGGTAGGAAGATTGTTTCAGCAGCATTGGTACCTGTTGACACAGGCATTTTAGTACAAATTTTAGGTACTTATCTAAGTATTTTAATTTAATTTTATACTTCTATTGCACTATATTTCAGAGGGAATTATTTGACTTTTTACTACATTTATTACACAGTTATAGATACTAGTTAGTAGTAGTGGCTAGAAGTCATCTACATCTACAACATTAATATATTAAAAGTTTTTCTTCACAACACGAAATATTCAGTTTGTTTGAAAAAAAAAAACGATCTTGAAGCATTATTCTTTAGGCTGTGTCAGAATTTACTCCATGTAAATTATTTAGTGCACTATATTTATGGTAAAATTCATGCACTATGATAGTGCCCTCAAGCGTTCCTACAATGGAACATAAAAAGTCCTAGAATCCGTGACACGTACACCACTTTTATTACTAACAATCCCATAATGCAATGTACAGCATTTTATAAATGCGGAATTAAACTGGCGCAACAGTACACCTGTCAGTCAAGACGCAAAATGATGATAATTAATTAATGTACGGCTCAGTGTAAATTACTGAGGACCAGATTCACTGCGGCTTCAGATTTGATACATTCTGCCCAAAACACGTGTTGGCTCCCAGTTTGCATATCATTTGTGTGAATTTTGTGCAACCTGCATCTCCCTCCTCATTGCATTTCAGGGAGGAACATGCCAGTAATTGAAGGAGTGATGTTAACAGAGGTTGATTATGTATTCAGATAGAGTTACTAAACACACACAATTTGCAACTGTCAGTTCTGCTGGGAAATCCTCCATCTCTGAAGATGTAAACATACCGTAAATGGGATTTACAAGAGCCACGAGGTTTTAGCAGGGGAAAGAAATATGTAAATTGTTTGTAATAAAAACTGATAAACACAATGTCTGTTTACTGCACACATAAATGAACAATTTATCAAAATATGTACTGTATATGGACTGCAGATACAATAAATAATAGGAGTCCTGCCCACTTCAAACCAGTGAAAAGAGCCCAACCACAACACCACAGACAGAAATCTCTCTGGTGAAAAAGCCAAGAAGCTGATGGAGAAAATATTTTCTCGAGGCCTTTACCCTTGATTATGAAAAGTAAAATAACACTTAAAATAAGTGACCATTCTGCATAATGAGAACTTTAACTTTTGATACTTTAAGAATATTTTGCTGATAATACTTAATGTACCAAGTAACATTTCGATAGCAGGACTTTTACTTGTAATGGAATATTTTTATACTGTGGCACCAGTACTTTCACTGAAGTCAAGAATGTGAATGTTTCATGAAATGGTGACATTTCTACATCCAGGCAGTACGTGGATGTGGCAGCTGTGTCTGACCTGGGAATCCTGCAGAGTCTCCTCGCAGCCTTCGAGAGCCAAACACACAGTGTCGCTACACTGAGGACACACCCAGACCAGGTCACGCATAGTCTGCACGACCACTGAGGAGTGTGAGAGGGAGAGATGTTGAATGATGAAACATTCAAACAAATGCAGGTGCATTCTGACAGTGCAATATGAACCCATTGTGTGTTTGTGGAAGAACGAGTTTTACCAGAAGTGATGTGCTCCTGTCTGAGCCCGAGCAGTCCAGTAAGGATCTCTAGACATCTGTCGCTGTAGCTCCGTCCAATACGACCTGCACCAAATCCACACAGGACATGAGTGAATGTATGACTTTAACCCATTGGGTGATGAGGTTTAAGAATCCCAAGAAAGGACCCGATAATGTTGAAATTTGCATTACAGGCAGGTGCAGTTTTAAAGGTAATGAGGCATGAACAGAGCCAGGTAGTGTTCCCATAGAAACATGTAGTCGGCCTGAGCTTTACTGGTGTTAAACATTTAGGAATAAAGTGCAAAATCAAGGACATAGGAGAAAATGAATATAATGTTCCTGCCAGAGTGAACAAAATAAGACTACAGATTTTTAAGAGTATAAGGGTTACTTAACGTGAGCTGAAAGACTATATGAAAAAGTGACAGTCTGTAGGCGTTTGACTTGTAATAAAGACACAGCAAACAAGAGAGTGTGTAATAATAGCGTGTGTGTTTACCTATAGCTGAGATTGCAGCCTGGGCAGTGTCAGCGTTGACATCAGTGCAGTATCCTTTCAGCTCATCCAGTAACATGGCTACATTCTCATCATTCACCAGCTCCACCAGCACCTGCAAACACAAACCAGCCTTAGGCTTAATAAAGAAGGACAACTACTGCTAATACTGGGTCGTAACTGTGGACATCACTGCGTGTTAAAGGAGATATCCTGGCTTTTAATCTGTCACACACTTTCTGAACCTCTCAACTTCTTAAACCAGTTGTTAGTTCTTGTTAAATATGGGAAGGCGGATTACTCTCCAGCCACGTTTATCTTCTCAACTTGCTTAAAATAATGGATCAAATAAGTTAAAGGAATAGTTCAACACTTTGGGAATTTTTTCTGAGAGTTAGATGAGAAGACTGATACCACTATCATGTCTGTACTCTAAATACGAAGCTGTAGCGTTAGCTTAGCTTAGCATAAAGACTGGAGACGGGGGGGGGGGGGGGGGGGGGGGGGGTTACTGGTTTACATGTTAAATCTTGTTTGTGTAATCTGTAAGGAATCTGAAGTTTATACTACATGTTGTGGTTTTAAGGTGGGCGGACAGGGGGGGAAATAGTCTAGCACATATGCGTGTACCTGGTGGACTATTTCTTGGCTGGGAGCAGAGGTTGCCAGCATAGACAAGACAACGAATAGCAGATTTCCCAAACAATTGTACTTTTGCTGGAACCTCCGCCGCCTCTGTGATGAAATGTGTGATGAAATGTGTGATGAAATGTGTGATGAAATTTGAACAGAAAACTAAACAAGCATCACCTGCATCTTCCTCTGCTTGATGTAGGCTGGCTCAGCATAGCCACAGAAGAAACGTTTGTAGTGCGCCCCCATCAGGCCAGGGACAGAACGCAACAGCAACTAGAAGAAGACATTTCATTTCTCAATATGTAGCCACACATCCAACTGACAAGATATTTTCCCTGAAAAAGAAACTAATCCAGTCATTTTAAATAGCATAAAACAACACGCTTTGTGTCTCTACGCCGTCGGCACACTAAACACACACACACGCAAAACACTGTTGTCCAGTAAGACAAACAACAAATGTTTAGAATTTGCTTTGGGTCTTCAGCGTTATATATCTCACACGCACACTTCTTCCAAATTCAACACCAACAATTAATAACAAAAAAATTAAATATAACAGTTTTGCAGTTGTTTACAAAATAATGACTAGAAGAGGGAAATCATGAGATACAGCAACAATGTTAACAAATAGAGATAAGTGACACAATAGAGTAATTGTTTCCGGCTGCAAGTGGAGGGAATCAATAATTAAAACACATAAAGCTTAAAAGCTCTGTGGTATCTTTCTGACGAGCTGCAAAGACATGCTCAGACTTTATTTGATTTTTTTAAGCAGCTATTTTATGTTGTCTTTCAATAATGAGTATTGTAATATAGCAACAACAACAAAGTACATTATTTTCTCTGAAATTATCTTCCTGCTGACATCAGACAGTCTGACTTGATGGCTTTGAAATCTAAACTG